CCAGCCCACACCCCGGGACCCGCGAGCGCCCGGGACCGGGACGGGCGAGGGCCCAGGCGGAGACGGAGACCACCGACCAGACGAGCGCCCCAGCCCGGCTGCCTCTGTCTGCCACACTGCGCTCTCCGCCCGATGGGGAGTTTGGGGGCCTGGGGGCGGGCAGGTAGGTACTTTGGCTCCGCCCCCATTTCAGGCAGCACCCTCCCTTCCACCCCACCCCCAGAGCCCTCCTCGTCCTCCCGCTCCATCTGCCTCTTGACAGATCGTGGCGGTGCCGTGACTCAGCCGTCTCATACGTCCCCAGGTCTGGAGGAGAGGTTGGGATGCCATCTCGGGCGGAGGGCTAGCGCCCTCTCTCCGGGGATTCCTTGGACTCAAACAGGGAGAAGGGACGCGACTCGCTGGACCCTCTTCCTGGTGGCGGGCTGGACGCCAGCGTAGGAGCGCTGGAACCTCCTGTGTGCGCGATGCACGCCTTTCTGGAGAAATGCCTGCTCTGAGGAGGTTCCCGTCCGAGGCCTTCCACCTTCTGCCTGGAGGGTGGGGAGGCCCCTGGCCCCAGCCCAGGGCCCACCAGCCCCATCCATCCCAGCTGCGGACAGCCGGCACAGACACTGAAGCTCACGCAGGCCCACGGGGAAGCAGAACCCGAGTCCCTGTGGGGATGTGGTTGAGGTTCCTGTTTATTAGGGTCCACCCAGGCCCCGCCTCCTTAGTCCTGAGCGGATCTACTGAGAACTCCCTGTGTAGAATCCTTTACACACATCCTGGAGCTTACAGAACTCCCAAAGTGATCCCCACAGGGCAGGGTCCACAACAGCCCCACTTTGCAGACAGAACCACTGAGGCTCAGAGAGGGCAAGATGCATATATCAAGACACGGGCATCAGGCAGACCTGTGTTGAACTCTCAGCTCTGCCATTTGGTTGTGGGCGCTGGGGTGAGAAGGAGCGTTGTCTCTGGGCCTCAGTTTCCCTCATTTGTCCTACAGAAATGCCTCCTGAGGCACTGGGGGTGAAGACACTTGGAAAAGTCCCCGGAGGCGAGGTTGAGCCATTAGGAAACAATATCACTAAAATGATGATGATGATTGCCACTCAGCCTCTGTCCCCTGAGAGTCAGCACCCTAGAGATCAGGGTGGGAAGGGGCAGTGCCTGAGGCCTTAAAAGGGAATGGGGCCCAGATACTCCTGCACCCACCCCCTCCTTGGTCTTTCCGGACAGTGACCTACTCCTGGTTTGGCTTGCCGCGCCTGGTTTTGGCATTTCCTGTTGATTTCAGCTTTGTTTGTCGTCAGCGGCTGTCCAGTTCCCTTTGGAAAATGTCAGGCTGTGCGTGCTGGGCCGATAGCACTCGCTTTCTGGTAGGGATGAGGGTGCTGGGGCTGAGGGTGCCCAGAACAGAGGCAGGGATGGCCTGGGGGCTGTGGCGGCTGCTGGAAACCCCCAGAGAGGCCCAGGAAGGGCAGAGTCACAGCCTGGAGATTCCTCACTCAGGGATTCCAGGGATGACAGAAGCTGGAATCTGATCAGCTTGGTGATGTCCCCAGCAGCGAGGCACCCATGGGTGTCAGGTAGAGCACAACATCACCAGAGCACACCACTGTCAGGTACAATAACTAAGAACACCGGGTAGTGAGAGGACACCAGTTCTTAGAGCACACCAGACAGAGGGATCACAGCCACATGTCAGAGCACTAACTCTCGGCCATGAGCACCAGGCCAGACAAAAGCATAGCTGCAGTGTCTCAATCACAGAGTTCGAGGGAGCATGGACAGATCCACTGCGTGCCACAATCACACTGTCCCCAGCAGTGTCCACATCACAGTGCCATAATAACTGCACCCTGGAAATGCACACAGCCACAGCCACATGGCCCCTAGAGCACAGACACCATTGCATGCTCACTGTCCTGGGAGCAGGAACACTGTCACAATCACTGTGCCCCATGAGGACACACGGTCATCCTGTGACAGTCACAGCACTAAGAATATAGACCTTGGAGCACACACAGTCGCTGTCACAAACACTGTCCCAGAGGCACAAAGTCACACGGTCACAATGACACTGTCCTGGAACCACACAGTCACACTGTTACAACCACACTGTCCCTGGAGCCCACACAGTCACTATCACAAACACTGTCCCAGGAGCACAAAATCACAGTCACAATCACACTGTCCTAGAAGCACACAGTCACACTGTCACAATCACACTATTCCTGGAGCACACAGGCATCGTGTCACAATCAAGAGAGCCCAGGCAGAGTACACAGCAGAGGCGGCTACAGCAGGCCGTATGCAGCTGGAGGAAACCCAGGTCAGTCGGAGCAAGCCCTGCCACGACTCCCTCCCCGGTGATGGAAGTGTGCACTCCCCCCACAGCCCCTGTCTCTGGGCAGCTTCTGAACCCCAACACTCCTGCCCTGAGAGGGGCGTCCAGCCCAAGCCAAGGTTCCCAACACAGTGCTCCCCCGAGAGGCCCCCTCCAGATTCCAGAACCCACCTGCCGCAGGATTTGTCTGCAAACGCCCCCAATAGAGTTCTCCACCTGGAAGGACACAGAGACCTCCCAGCCTGAAAAAACACTGTGGCCCTAGCAGCCCCCCCGAGCGTCTCCTAGGATACCCCAAACACAGTGAATCTAGCCCGCAGGGCAGTGTCCCCAGGAAAGTCCCTCCAAGTGGTGCCGTCTGGCCCCTGACCTGCACTGCCCCCGACCAAGAATATAGACCCTTAAATCGGCCCCCATCCGCAGATCCCGTTAATGGCACGCGCAGCCTGCCACCCCCAAACAGACCCAGGACGGGCATCAGTAGGAAGCTTCTTGCACAGTGCACAACCAGGGGCCAGGTCCCGGACACGCCGCAGCAGAACTCCCTCCTCCGCCCCCGCCAGTCGCACGGACCCCACCCGCACCCTGGCGCCCCCTGCGGTCGGCGGGTCGAGTTGCGTCCTCCCTGCGCGCCTCTCCGCTCCGCGCGCATCCGCGGCGGGCAGTCTTACCGCCGGCCGCTGCCTCCGCCCGCGCCTCCGGTGCCGGTGCCGGTGCCGGTGCCGGTGCCGGTGCCCGTGCCGTGGAAGGACGAGGGCCAGGACATGCGGGTCGTGCGCAGGCCGGGCCGGTCACTGGTGTCCACGGCGTCGGCGCGCTCTATGGGCCGGTGCGGCGGCCGCTCCGGCTCGGCGCGCTCCGCGCTGTCGGAGTAGCCGCGCTGCTGGATACGGATGGGGGTCCGAGGCTGCCGCCACAGGTGCTGGGGAGGCGGCTTCAGGGTGGCCTGGCCTTCCCGGGGCCCGGGCAGGGACAGAGACGGGCCCCGTTCCGAGGGGGCGGCTGGGGGCTCCATGGCGCCAGCCTCCACCTGCGCCCCGGGGGGCCCGGCCTTTCCAAGCGGCACCCGCTCAGCTACTCTCGAGCCGACGAGCCCGGGGCCCCGCGGGCGCACCCGGCCACGGTAGGGCCATGGCG